GAAAAAGTAAGTTATTTTATCTACAACCAGTTAAGACCACTGTGCCTTTCCACTATGGATTCTCCTCTGTTCACACTTCTCCTTGAGCTGGATGGCCTTGGAGTGGCTGCAGGCATTTTTGAAAGTTGAATTGAGATGCAATTTAATATTAGCAGGTTCACTGTCACTTCTGTGCGTAGTGGGGTTATCACTAGACATCCTGGTGTAGGAATAGCTTCTAGGTATACTCCAGTGAGGATACAGGGCCAGAGATAGCATTGTGAAATGAACTGGTCTTATGACACCTGGCACCAGAACTATAGGGTACTAGAGGAGAAACAAAGTTTGAAATGTATGGAGCCAGAAGCTGGTCTGTAGAAAATTCTTCCTATAGTCAGAGTTACAGAACTGTAAGCAAATGATTCCATTCTCATTGATGAGTTGCCAAAACCACAGATTCTCTCCAATTGAGAATATCCTTGATAGAGCAGTACATACAATTATAAACTTACCATCCAGTTTTGTTTTTTCTTTTTGGTGGAACTTCGCCTGAAACAGAATAAGAATTCCTGGGTTAATAGGCTACAAATCTGTAGCAGTTGTACAAACAGCAGGTACGTTTGGGGGTAAGCCACATGTTTTCTGCCTGCCAACATGTCAGATTGGATCTTAACACATTCCCAACAACGAATTTGAAGGTGAAAGAAACTTATCTAAACTATCAGTAATAACCAAAAATAAATTTCAGTCAGCTGTACTAGAAGAAAAACTTCATTATCTTTCTATTCTCTCTATAGAAAATAATATTATAAAATAGTTGTCTAATGAAGAAGTTCTTAGAGAATATGCATCCAAAGACTATGAAAAAATAGTATTGCAGAGGTGTGTCAGGCAGTTAATAATCTTAAAAAATTTTGTGATATTTATCAGCTTCATAAAACTTATAATTGTGGTGATTTATTTTCTCATTCTAAACATTCACCTTTGCACCAAGTTTTATATTTGAAATTTTGAAATCTTTTACTTGAAAAGGGCCCCCAAATTGTTTAAATTTTAGGCTTCAGAAAGAATGAATCCTCACCTGATTATAATTTACTGTTCTTTCAGTATTTGCCAGCAGGACAAGCAAATATCTTTTTTGCTTTTGTTGACATTTCATAGATCTCTAGTGAGACTGTACATTTTTTTTCACATATACATTGGCCATTTGTATTTCATCTTTGAATTGACTATCCATATCCATTTGTTTGTTTTCTGGTTGTTTCTTATTAATTTTGTAGGGGCTGTGTGTATTAAGTTTATTAATCTATAGTACGTCATTGTGTTCTAAATAATTTCCTCTAAATTATCCTTTGTCTTTTTTTGGTAACAGTGTTATTGCAATCTAATTCACAGACCATATAATTCACCTATTTATTTATATTATTTTTCCAGTTTTATTGAGATATAATTGACAAATACAAATTGTATATACTTAAGGTGTACAGTGTAATGTTTTGATATCCATATACATTGTGAATTATCATAATCAAGCTAATTATCATATCCATCAAGTTATTCATTTAAAGTATACAATTCAATGGTTTTTAATATATTCACAGAGTTGTGTAACCATCTCCATAATCAATTTTAAAATATTGAATCACCCCTAAAAGGAATCCTGTACCCTTTAGCTATCACCCCTAATTCCCCATCACAATTTGTCTTTTGATATGTGGTATTTTTAATATCAAATTTCCTTAACTTTCCTGTAGTCAAATATCTCTATATTTTCTTTTCCAGCTTTTAGGTTTCCACTTTCCAGTGTGGCTTAAGGTTTCCACTCTCTCTAAGGTTATTTAAATATCCTGCTCTAATATTTTATTTTTACATTTACATCTTTAATTCATCTGGAATGTATCCTCAATCTTCTACCCTCTAAGCAGGTAGACCCCCCACTTCTTAACTAGATTTCGAGAAGAAATTATTATACCTAATGAGGGAGAAGTTTCTGTCAGCAAACTTGGGGGCCAGGCCCAAAGGGCAGGAGCAGGGAAGAGGAGCACCCTAAAAAGGCTGAGTCCTGGTCAGCCCGGTGTGGTTGCTACAGGGCATATGGTGTGTGTTCGCATGATGTTTGGAGACCTACCTTGACTATAGAACTCTCTCTTTCAAATGAAGAGTTGAAAATGGGGTCCTAACAGCAATGGTCAGAAAGGAACCAAACTGCGCTTAGGAAGGTGCTTCCAGAGACTGCGGTATGGGAAGTGGGGGAGAGGAGTAACTACAGTGAAGGAACCTGGTGAACAGTACCCCAACCAGGTAATCAAGGCTCACATCCTGATGATAAATCATGTTGATAGTATGTACCCTTGACATGATGTGAAGAGAACGGCACTTCACCTCTGCGGCCTTCCTCCCACCTCTCATAACTGAATCTAACCATGAGAAGACCACCAGACAAATCCACAGAGGGGCATTCTGTAAAATGCCTGATCAATACTTCTCAAAACTGTCAAGGTCATCAGAAACAAGAAAAGCCTGGGAAATTGCCACAGACCAAAGGAGACAAAAAGACATGACTACGAAATGTAATGTGGTATCCTGGGTGAGATTTTGTAACAGAAAAAGAACGTGAGGGAAACGCTAATGAAATCCAATCAAGTACACAGTTTAATTAATAGTAATGTATTAATACTAGTGTTGGCTCTTTAGTTGTAACAAGTGTACCATGATGATATAGGATGTTAACAAGAGGGGATGCTGGGTGAGGAATATATGAGGACTCTGTATTATTTTTGCAACTTTTCAGTACATCTAAAAGTATTCTAAAATAAAAAGTTTATATTAAGAGGGAGGAGAAATACTTTTGCTAGCCACATCCTTCCTGAGGGAGTATATCTAGGCCAAGAAAGCATCCTGCCTTCTGAAAATAAGAGTTGGTGTCTCTACAACCTAGTGCTCAATTTGAACCAATTATATGGGTGGGTCAGAAAAGAATTTTGAGACATCATTTCCCCTGTCCACATTCCCCCTGCTAGCTCAGAGCGTCCTTCCAAAACAGCCCATTCGGGCTGTCTGGGCCACTCCATGCATTCCACCCCAGCAAGCACAGTGGGATGGGGTTTTCAGTGATATACTCCATCCCCAACCAATCCCAGGATGGGAATCCCCAAAGGCTTATTTCTTCACCGTTGACACGGCTTTGACTACCCTCCCCTTGCTGTAGTGACCAATTCAGACCCCTTACCCTGGTTTTTTGATCTTGGCTCCTCACTTGACTCAACCTTGCACAACCTCTTGATTTCTGTACCACCTGAAGCTGCAGGTGAGAGAGATTCCTTCTTCCACTGCTGTTCACTGCCCGACTAGTCCAAGGCCCCTGGGTCCCATTTGGAAGGAGTGGACAATGTGTAGCTTCTCTTATCCATGTGATGGGATACCATCTTCAGCAATATTATCAGATATAAAGGGCATCTTCTCTACTTTAGGAAAAATACAGGAGCTCTCCAGATGAGAGTAGCTTTAAAAAATACTATTAGTAATTACACTAATATATCAAATCATGATTGTGTAGCATGTGTTCCATTTTTTTTTAAGGGAGCAGTGACATGATTTAGTTTCTGGCGTCCCCTTAAGTTTCCTGATCCCCAGACAGTATTGGGCATGTACCTGTGTACCAACACTCCAGGGGGTCCTGAGTAGTCCTGGGACTGACGATTGGACCAAAGTTGGCAGAGCAGATCTTAATTCTGAGGCTGTGCAGAAATCCAGTGGTCAAAGTGAGGCTAGGACTCTGCCCTCATTTTGGTGTTGAATTACTTGTATCATCAATAACCTCCTAAGATCCCACTCTGAGGGATTGGCTGTGTGGCTTTTCCCAGGAAGACTATGGCCCTTCCTTGACTGGATGACAAAAAGCAGTTGAATGACACTGACAGCCTCACAAGGATGCTGACCTGGAAGGGCCGAGAGACATCGTGTACACTAGAAACTTGGAGCTGAACAAACCTTCCTTCTCGTGTGGGACGCTGTGGTCTAAGTCTTGCAGAGGACTGGGTTTGATTTTGGAAAAAAATGAGCATTCCAACATAAAATTTCTAGAAGTTTCTGTGTGCTGGCCTAAGCTGAAAGGCTACTATTCCAGCATACAGAGAGATTCAGCTTAATGGGTATGTATTGAGTGCAGCTTCCTGTATCCCATTTTCTCTGTGAGTGGTGGTGACAGTGTGCTGCCTGCCACATTATAGGAGGCCCCGAGAAGGGGCACAGGGAAAACCAAGCCTCCTGCTGTGCCAGAGAGTCCTGAAATTTCAGCATAACTCATTACCTTATTATATAGCTGGGGGTGTCGGGGGAACCCTGCTGTATTGCCTGGATCTATAATCTGAGGACTGAGTGTAATTTTCTTTCTGTGCCCCCAGCACTGTCTGGGCACACTGCCCACGGGTTATACAGAAAGACAAGGCCTGCACCCACACAGTCTCACTACCTCTATATGAGGAGGATGACCCCGTGAGCCTGCAGTCATTTATGGCCGCAGTCATTACAGAGCGCAGGACAGGCTGGCCAGAGTGGGCTTGGCTGGAGCTACCACAGCGGTAGAAGCTGGGACCGGGATCTGCCAAGAGCTGGTGGAGCTCAGAGGCTTTGGGAAGGCCCAGAAGCTCTGCCTTAGAAGGCAGGAACTCTATTCCTCCTCTAGTTTAGAGCTTTCTTGCATCTTTAGAGAGCAGTGTTTCTTAACCTTTTTTTCTTACCACTGCCTCTAATGGGGAAAAGTTAATTTGGTTTAAATTTTCCCTAACAAGACTCCATTCCCACTCCCTACTCCATGTCCCGTGACTATATGTATATATAATTATAGTTGACATACATTATTATTCAATATCAGCTTCACACCTGAAACTAACAATAAAAAATAAATTAATTAAAAAAATATTTTTCCCTAACAAGAAAAACTAAAAACTAAGGAATAAGATTTTTTCCTGTAGCTTTGGAGGGCCACAAGCTATTGTATAATAGTATCTAAGACATTTTTGTCCCACCCTCACCTCAAGAACCAATTTTCACCCCCTTGGGGGCAGTGTTGCCCCTTTTGAGAATGCGGTATAGAAGGATGGTCCTGCTGTTGAGAACAGTGCTACCCACAAAAGGGAACTTGCAGACTTTCTTCACCCTGCTGGTTTTCCTCAGCTTCTGAATCCATAAGGATGAGTTCAGCTGCATGTTACAGGGACCCCAATGAAACTGCCTGAGACCACAGGGGTGTTTATTGTTCACTTAAGAAGTCTGGAGTTAGGTGCAGTGGCTCAAAGATGCCATCAAGGACACAGGCTTTTTTCGTTTCTCCACTCAGCTATCCTCGGGGTATTGGGAACATCTCCACTCTTGGCCACAAGATGGCTGTAACAGCCCCAGGCACCAGGTCCTCCCAGGGGTGCATTTGAAGGGAGAGGGAGGAAGAGATAGAACAATGAAAAGGGGTAAATGACTGGTAGCAAATAACAGTTGCTGACACCTCTCTCTCTCTTATTTCCTCTCTCCTTTACCTTTGGCTTTACCCAAACCCATGTGTGAATCATTATGCATCCAAATGGAAGGGACTAGCAGTAACACTAGCTGGCTGGCCTTGAGCAAGTCACTTGATCTCTGGGCCTCAGCTTCCTCATTTATGAAATGAGAGTCGCACACTACATGCCTTTTTTACATAAACTTACAAATAGTGCTGCTGTAGATTCCTGAATCCATCTTTTAATGAATATTTAAGGCATTTGTTGTGTTCTGGGAGTGGAGCTGCTGGGTCCTGTGATGTCTGAATGTTCATCTTCTAGATGCCTTTTAAGGATCGTTCCTGGTGATGGACCCAAACACGATCATGGAGCATACAGCCAGTACATAGGTTTTTCATCCTATCCAAAGGTTCACTGCTATTCTAATAAGATGCAGTGCCAGGGCTTCCAGTGTCAGCCTGCTTGTGAAGAAAGCCAAGTAGCACGTGTCCCTTGTGATGGCGGCAAATTACATTTCTATGGCCAGATGAGGTCCGGGTCCTAGGGGCCCCGCAGGGCGAGCCAAGGAAGTTTCTGGGGCTCTGGAAAATATCCACTCCATTGTGAGGCACTTCACGGCCAGCACTACGAAATGACTCTGTTAACAGATAGTTTAGTTCATCTGAGCCCTTCTCCCAAATTTTAAGCACCTGGTAGATCCTCAATAAAAGTAACCATAAAAGTTTAGGGTAAAGGAACCTGTAATAGCATTTTGCAAGAGAAGTTTGTCTTTTAAGCAACATTTTAGCAAACAGGAACTTTCTCCAAAGTAAGCACTTAAAACACTATTTACAAAAGGAGGTTTGGAATGTCAATTTATGGTTTAGAGAAATGGGCGGAGCTCTGAGAACAGTGCTTCTCAAAGTAGTCTATAGACCTGCATGAGCATCAGCTAGGAGAGTGTTAAAAATGCAGATTCCAGGCCCCACCCCAAATTGGAATCTCTTAGATGGGGTCTAGAAATTTGCATTTTAACAAACTCACATCATTCCATGATCTGTGCTGCATTACTCACGGCAGAGGGTCTCCATACTTTTGGGGCCAGGTGCTTTGACATGGAAAGATAAAGTGATCCTGTCATTTACCCACAAACCTCTCTGCCGGTTCTGGGGCAAGGTCCAATTTCTTGTTTGCAAAACTCTTCAGCTCCTGGCCTCAAGTGGACCTGCTGGCTTTTGCTTTTTCCTGGGACATTGTTGACTGAATTAAACGGTCCACACAATTTTGTCTCTGTTGGCAACAGTGCCTTCTCAGTTGCCCCTCTGTGGCTTTCTCCATGTCACTCTGAAAGCTCTTTGAAAACCTCCTTTGTCCTCATCAGCCATCCACTTCAGAAGTGCTGGTGTTATTTTGAGACAGAGCTTGGGATGCCATATAGAATAAAGCTATGATTGTATTAAAAACCAGAAGAGGGTGAGCAGCTAACACAAACATGAATACTGCCTAAGCACATGCTGTACCAGGGGACAGTAAGAGAGAATGCTCCGTTGTGGCTCTGCTTTGTTTCTGAGATCTGGGTGCTCATGTCAAGTCCTCACAGACTTGCCAGTGAGGTTTACAGGATTCCAGCTCGACAAACTTAGCAAATTCTGGGGCCCAAGGCCCTGTCTCCTGAAAGGCACCAGCCTAAGTGCCCAGGGTTACCTATGGGTGGGGCAAGGCCCCATGCTGTGTTCTTGGTTTCTGATGGTATCTCCCTGGTGCCCCCATGCAAATACATCCACTGCGTTCTTCCTCAGAGCTCAGCCTTAAAAATCCAAGCTTACCTCCACAAATTCCACCAAACATTACAGCCTTCTCTGATATAAAAACTTTGTGTTTCCTCCTCATCACTATGTTGCTTTGAAAACTTTTAGTAGACTTACAGTCACATACTCTGGGACACTTTTAACGCTATTTCGGTGACAGTTTCCCACCACAAGGAACACTGAAATACAAGAGGAAATAGTGAATATGAATAGGCAGTCCTGGGCTAAATTTGAACGGTGGAAACTTTATACCAAAATGTTTTCCATAGACGTTCACTTTCTTTAGTTTTGATGACTACCCACTGGATCATTGCGGCCAGATGCCACTGACCAACAGGAAATTGGAAAATAAATAAAAAACTATTTCATATTGCCTTTTAGGAACTCTGGGTTTTTTTGTTTTTGTTTTGTTTTGGGGTTTTTTGGTGGGAGCATAGAAAAATGGTACTCTGATCCAAACTGAGCAAATTAGAGGTTTGGAGGGCACGTTTAATTATGAAAACTTTATGATTTTCATTTCATAAGAAGGGTAGAGAAAACCCAACAGAGAGGGGATAGACGTGAATTAACATCTATTCCGTGTCAGCATTTGGCTAGGAGCGTTAGGGAATGCTATTTCATTCTCACCACCACCACCACCCAAGGTAAATATTACCTGCTCCCTGTCCTCCTCCTTTTTAGGTTAGAAAGCAGGCTCATTAAGGTTAGGCAACTTGCTCATGGTCCCCCACCTGTGGTGACTAAGTGGGAATTCAAATGTGGCTCACTTTTCACTGTCCTGGTGTCCTGAAGAGAAAGCTGTGTGGAGTCTTAATAACATCTCTATTATGTTAAGGTGGCCTGTTGTGAAAATAACACCATTCAATAGAAATACCTATGCTACACATCCATAGAACATTCACTTCTAGTTATCTTCATGCTATTTATTTTAATGCCAATCAGAAGAACAGCGAATAGGGTCTGTAGCCGTTATAAGCAGCCCTCGAATATGAAAGTGGTATTAATTTTACCCGACTCCAAGAGGACCAGACATTGGCATCCCTGTGAGGTGGATGCAGCATTTAAAATTGTTCCCAGAGCCCCCTGAATCCTGTTCTCCCAAACCAAGGCAGACACATGTGGGAGATAAAAGATGATACCATGAGGACTAAGGCCCAATGAATTACACCAGCGAAAATAAGGTCTTCGAAGCTCAGTGAGTCTCTAAGAGAGATTTCGAGTCAGCTTCAACTCTCTGCATTCTCCTCCTGCTTGAAGTGTCACTTGTTTCTAGATTAAAGTGTGGTGGAGACCACAGTGAATCCCAACTTTAAGATTTGCCAGGTGAAATGGGACAAACCTTTAGAATTTGGGGATAAATAGGGGGAAAAGTGCTCCTTCACAGTGAGCCACCCAACCTGTCACTTTCTTAGTATCAATCTGTTCTTGCGTGGACTGGTGACCCCTACTGACTTGGCCCTAAGAACAAAAGCTGCGGAGACAGTTAAGGTGGGAGAAGGTGAACTTCCACACCAAAGAGCTGAAGTAACGCCTTGACTATCTCCACTCTGCTAGCAAATAAGGCTGAGAATCCAGCTCAGCCAAAAGCCCGGAAAGGAAGCACAAAACCATGAAAAAGAACTTAAACCTCTTTCAAAAGGCAGTTCAGTCAAGGTGTTTGAGTCGTATCATTGTAGCACTCCCTCTATTTACTGACACTCACTCTTCTGAGGCTTAACCTTCCATAAACCCGGCTTACTTGTAGAAGCAAGATGGCACGGGATCTCAGCGTGCATTTGAAGAAACCCCACACTGTCTCCTTGTTCGCTATCTCCTTTGGGCCTCAGCCTTTTATGCCATTCTTATACTATGCGTCGTTATTCCTTTCCTTTGGCCATACGATCCCAACCCACGTGCATGTTCCAAAGCCCCCAGCCCCCAGCGTGGCTGCCTGTGGGCGCATCGGTAACCGGGTGTGGAATGGAACAGGATCCTGTAACGTCTTTTTCCATCTCTGATTTCCGTTAAGCATTTGCTCCGGGGACAGAGCGCAGTCTCCATAAAGCCGGCCTCTCCCAGACGAGGTTGGACGTTACCAGGACAGCTGCCGAGGACTCAGGGCGCACTTCCTGCGGGGCGGCAGGCGGGGCGGAGCTGCCCGCCTCCCCTCCTCCCGCCTCCCGTCCCTCCGCCCCCCCACAACCGGTCTCCCTACCCCAGGGCGGCCGGGGCGCTGCGGGGGCGGGGCCGCCAGCGGGCTGGGCGGCGTGGCGGTGCAGGCTGATCGCCGGGGGCCAAGGTGCTAGCGGACCCCGCGGCTGGCTCCGGCGCGGAGCGGGGGCGCGCGACGCGGAGCAGCCCTGCCCAGCGCGGGCAGAGACGAGCCGGCGGGTGGCGGAGGCGGAGGCGGCTCCCAGCCCGGCCGGTGCAGGGCCTTCGACAGAACTGCGGCCGAGCGGGGCCTCGGTCCGGGCGCTGGGGGAGCCCGCCGAGGCTGGCAGCAGGAGGAAGCGGCGGCTGCGCGTCCCGAGCGGTGCGCGCCATGTCGGGCGGGCCCCCCAAGGCCCTGCAGTCCACGGGGCCCCACTCTCTGCGTGACATGCCGCACCCGCTGGCTGGCTCCAGCAGCGAGGAGGCCGTGGGCGGCGACAGCACGCCCAGCCCGGACCTGCTGATGGCCCGCAGCTTCGGCGACAAGGTGGGGAGCGCTTAGCTGGGGATTTGGGCGGCTCTTTTCTCTCCTGAGGGGGAATGTTGGATCTCGATCTCCCCTAGGCACGGCGCCGCGCCCACTCTTGCGCCCCTTACCCGGGGACGGGCGTGCCCTCGCCCCCCAGATCCTTTGGAAAAAAGCGTCTCCTCTCTGCGGGCCCCACGGGGTCGCAGCCGCAAGGGAAGCGGCCAGAGAGGACAGGCTTGCCCCGCGGTGACTGGTCGCGAGCTGGTGACAGCTGGTGGGGAGGGGTCCCGCATGCGGGTTGGGGCCGGAGGCGTGTGTGTAGTGCCCGGCGCCTGTGACCTGGAATGGAGTCCCAAGTTCCTCCAGGTGCATCTTTAAAGGCTGAGCTGCAGAGTAACTTGTAGCTCCTCCCGTTGGCTGGGGCTGCAAAGAAGAAAGTGTTAATGGTTTTCGTTGGTGGGACTGGGCAGCCTTGGTCTTGCTGCCAGTCATCTTCTTCCCCGTCTGTCATGTGGGAAGGGATCTTTGTTTAGGTTTGTTATGTGCACTGAGAAGTCACCTGACTCAGACCCCAGCCGGCGGCGGGAGGAGACTGGGTTGTGGTTTTCGGTGTGGGACTCCATTCACCTCTGACGGCCTCCTACGCTGTGTAGGTTTGGCAGAGGCTGGTTTTGTGGTTGATAGGAAGAAAGCTCGCCCTTTGACCTCCTTTGTGCAGAGAAGCTCCTGATTTTCTTAGAGCAGCGTAACCCTCCTGCTGCTTTGAGAGACAGCACAGTCCAGGGAGCTGCAAGGGGCCGCATCCCCCACCCCCATCGCCGTTTCAGCTGTGACCAGGACTTGGGCTGTGATTGTGGCAGCGCTGCTGTTGCCACTAATTGTAGAAATTAGAATTGTTCTCAACACTAGTGCTCAACATTTCCTCCCCCCAGTAAAATATTAAATGAATTCCTTCTTGTCCTAATCCTAAACGAAGTTAGAGGACCTCACTTTCTTTCCCCCTTAGACAGGAGGGCATGTGGTACAGTTAAAATGAGCATGCCTGCACTGAGCACCCAGAATAGCTAGGGAGGGGTGCTTGATGACCTTGAGAGAATTTGTAAAAGCAGAGGTGGGGGGTGGGGGTAAAGCATTAGGAGAAAGAAGGCTTAAAGAACTAATGAAACCAATGGATTGAGCAGTTTGAGGTGTGTGTGTGTGTGTGGACACTTTGTAATTCTTTCTCTTTATTTTATAGATTATAAACTATATGAAGCCTTATGTCGCTTGGAAATACCTTCCCCATATTTAACATTCAATAAGTAATTGCTAAATGACTGAATGAATAATTGGTTGCTTTCTATAGAAAGAGAAATTGTCCTATATGCATGTAGGTTAGGCACTGATGTTAACTCTTGACTTCCTTCTCAGGTCTGTGTAGGATAGTGAATTAATTGCCTATTGCTGTGTAACAAATTACTCCAAAATTTAGCACCTGAAAGTTGTGTCTGTGGGTCAAAAATGTGGAAGTAGTTTAGCTGGTTAATCCTGACTCAGGTCTTTCATGTTGACTAGGATTGCGGTCATCTGAAGGCTGGATCGGGGCAGGTGAGCTTCCACGCTCACTCACTTGGCTTATTTTTTTTTTTGGCTGAGCCATCCTGTCACCTGTTGGCAGTTCAGCAGCAGCTCAGCTCGGGCTGGGAATTGAACCGCTAGTTGCTCAGAGCTCGCACTCTCGAGCGAGCGCTTAACCAACTGAGCCACTCGGCTGGCCCTCACTTGGCTTTTGACAGGCCTTAGTTCCTCTCTATTGGCTGCTTGACATAAACCTGGTTTCCCTCAGAGCAAGTGAGAGCAAGAGATCCCAAGACTCAAGCCATAGTCTTATGTAATCGAATCTTGGAAGTGACATGCCTCTGTCATACTCTATTGCTCACACAGACCAATGCTGGTACAATGTGGGAAAAGGGTATGAATATAGCAAGTCCTTTAATAACGTTGTTTGATTATAACATTGATGAGATGCTGTAGAAACTTAACTCTTGTTTATCTAGCCTATGGTAAAACTGGTTTCATTATATGTAGTTTCACTTAAAGTCACAGAACCTATGGACGACAGTAAGTTAGGAATCGTTGGGGCCATCTTGGAGGCTGGCTACTACAGGTGGCTATTTAAAATATTTGTTTAACGATCCACTCTTGGAGGATAGCTGACTCAGAATATGGGCATTTTACTAATAAGTGCTGGTAGAACAACTGCCCCGTACCACCAAGATCTTGTTGGTGGGCAGGAAGTCAGCCCCAAGTCTAATTACTGCTGGTTGACTTTACAGGGACAGTTCTATGAGAGAGACCTTATTATTAATTATCAAATATTTAATAAGTCTCCTTTCAGCTGTAAGGAACATCCAAATGACATCACTCCCAAGGGCCTGATTTATAGTAAGCCACTTTTCCTTAGAGGCAAAGCAGTATAATTTCTTTCTCTGACTGGGAGTAACATTTTCCTTGAGTCTTGGCATGCACTTACGTTTTCGTAATTCTGGAGAGATTTCTGTAGAAAGAAGCTAGCGAGCAACAAAGGTGAATTGGGACCAGCGGAAGGGAGGCTTCCCTTTGCTCTGCTTTTTCTTGCCCAGGCAGCATGGAGGGCAGGGAGGGAAGTTGAACACTCTGGTTTGTTGTTGAAAAGAAGCCTGTTCTCTTGCCTTTTTGGACATTAGGGCTGTGATTCTGGCTGCCTGATTCAGCGTCAGTTCTGGGCTTGGAGGACGAGAGTTTGACAAGCCGCTCATAGTGTGCAGGGTTATTATATTTTGCGCAGGACACTGCTTCCTGGGAGCCCAGGATGGTGCCATGAACAGGGAAGCCTTGTGTCTTGGCCTAGCAGGCACTTCTGAATGGCCTCTGAGGTCCTGGGAAGGAGGGAAAGACCATATGTGATAGTCTCTCTACCCACAAAATCTAAAATCATTCAAACCAGAGAGTAATGGGAGGAATGCTTTCTATCTAGCAAGGGTTGCTAGCAGTGTTTCTTTTGCCAGCTAAACTCACCAGGCCTTCTATCACTACATCCTTCATCTCCTCCTAAAATGTAAATAAACCATTGGCCCATCTCTCTTTTTCACTTTCACCTGCAAACCACTCTGGGCTGCTTCTCCCCTGACTCAGCCTCCAACTCCTGCGCCCTCCCAAAACTTAACATCAAGCCCTCTCAAGCCCCAGCTGTGGTTAACACCCCTGCCCACATCCTCAACCTTTTCACAGAACTCTTCTACCTACTTCCTGTCCCCTTAGGTCGTTGCTTCCTCTGAAGTCTTCAAAATGGAGGGAGGTAGGTGTCTTTTCCTCTTGTACTCCACTTAAGTCAGGATCAGGAGATGGGGGTCAGTGTCCCCTCTCTCTCCACTGCCCTTTACAAACCATGTTCTGCTCCTTTGAGGCGCATGCCATTTTTTGTTCACTCAGCAAATATTCAAGGGCATGCTAAGAGTCAGGCACTGTTCTAGGAACTTGGGATGAATCAACCAGTTGAAGACCCCTGCGTTCATTGGGTACATTTGGTGAGTACATACTATGTTATGTAATAAATTCCATGGAAGGAAGAAAACACAGGGCAGGGAGGGGCGTGTTCAGGATCACTGGCCATGGGGAGGGCGATTTGGGTAGGCCTTATTGAAAATTTGAACAGAGACTTGAAGAAGGTGAGGGAGTTAGCAAGTGGATATCTGGAGGAGTGTCCAGGTGGAGGGAACAGCCAAAGCAGAGGCCTGAAGGCACATTCCTCGTGCATCAGGGAATAGCCCGGAGGCCAGTGTTGCTGGGGCAGAGTGAGAATGGAAAGTCAGAGATTGAGGGCTTGGTGGGGTGGGGCAGATTGAATAGGGCTTGGTAGGCCACCTGAGAACTTTGACCTTGACTTGGAGTGCCATTGCAGGGTCTTGAGCAGAAGGAGGGCAATTTGTCTTATGTGTTGAAAAGGATCACACAGGCGATTGAACTGAGAATCCTTTATTTGATTATTCTACTGAGTTAGGTTCCTTTTTAGTTGAAAGGACAGAAACCGAACGCAAACTGAATGAAGGAAAAAAAAAATACTGGCTCATGTTGTTGAAAAGCTCTAGGTATTTGGCTTCAGGAATGGCTAGAGCTAGGTATTCAGATGATGTCGGGAATCTGTCACTTTCCGTTTCTTGGCTCTGCTTTCTTCTGTGTTAGCTTTAGTCTTGAGCTAGCAAAGGGATATGTTATACAAACAAGCTTCCCAAGTCCAGCAGAAAAGAGAGCACCCCTTTCCTGATAGTCACAGCAAAAGCTCTGGGCTGGTGTCTGCGGGGCCTAAATTGGGTCAGGCGCTGACACCAGTCTTTGTAACTCTGGTTGCCCGGATCTGAAACAGCTCCTTACCTTTAGAGTGTGAAGAAGGGAAGTTTTTGTATATTTGTTTATTTGTTTGAACAGTGAAATATATACCCGAAGTACATGTATCTGTAAAGATATAAAATGTATCTGTATAGTCTAAAGACTAAAATGTATCTATACAGTTTTTAAAGAATAATAACATGAACGCTCACATTCCTACCACCAAGATTAAGCTATAGACTTTACTAATAATACTTTAGAAGCCCCGCTTGCCTGGGAAGGAAGGAGGTGGCTTCCAAAGCAAAATCAAGGTGCTGTTATTAGAAGGAGGAACCAGTGAATATTGGAAAAGCCGAAACAACATGTCCATTGCAGACCTTCCAGTATCTTTTTCTTCCCTGTTGTTTTCTAACTTCCCTGCTTCTCATTCCTATGCATTAAAATCCTAAGACCCACAACTTGCTATCTTTTCAAATCATGTCCTCATCTCAGGGGACTCTGTCCAAATCTCCAAAGCTCTCTGTTTCTTGATCTTATTTCCAGTCACCTTCACCTCTTTTTCCAATTCGGTTGCCGTCTCCCATGGCCACCCCCTTGCATTGTAACACCTATAACTGTTCCTGCTCTGAAATAATGCCATCGGATGTCATCTTTTCCTGCCGTACCCTCCTTTC